TCCAATAAAATATAAATATGAAATTAACCAATAGAATATATAATAAAATATCATCCAATTAAATTTATAATATGAATTAATCAATAAAATAGGAACTAAATATTCATATTATAATAATACTCAAAAATTTATATTTATATAATCACAAAAAATTAATATTAAAAAATTAATTTATTATTTGAATTAGAAATAGAGTTGAGGATAAAATTATATATAAAATTGCTTTTCTGATATTTTTTATTAGTATTTCAAGCCATTTGTTTTTTATACTTTTACATTTTTATTTTTTTTGTGTCAAAAATCACATAATTTAACACTGTTTTAAAGTATTATTTGTAGATTTTCTAGTAATATTTATTTAATAAAATTACAAATAACTTAGAATTATACTATGCTAATTACCTTTTAGCTTTTAAGTGAAAATGCTTAGTGTAAAATTTTAGATATAATAATAAATTTGAATTGTCAATTAATATTTTGTTTTTACTAAAACATGTTTTGATATATAAATCACACTAAGTTACATGTTCTAATCTTTTTTGTAATAATTTGCTCATTGAATTTGGCTTGAAGAAACTGATTCAAAAATCACAATACATTATATGCTTTTGTGCTTGGCTCCATAATCAATATTAATTATGAAACACCATTCAAAAAATATGAATAATAAATTCTTAATTACATTAATTGATATTAAAGAAGTATACCAGATGATAAAGAATTATTTATGATTTTTTGATGTTTGAAAGTTATTGATGCGAAACTATTGGCAGTCACTGTATGTATATGTATACATGTATATATATATATATATATGTTATAGCAAATCATAAGTTATATCTCCCAAAATTTGCTGGACAAAGGGGAGGGGGGTGCGACTGTATTATATTAAAGATAGTCAGTAATTAATATCTTCTTGCAAAAAAATCCACGATTTCCACATTCGTTGACACGTCAACAATTTCTGCTCCATATGCATAAGGGGATCTTCCAAATCACGAATATCAGCCAGGAATCGTTTCCTTAAGTTGTTTTTTGTGGGCAAATATGAAGCATATTTGCGCAATAGATAACATTTGCAAAGCAATAGACCTTGTGAAAGATAGAAAGCAGCTGTTTTATTCAGAGGTATAGTAGTTGCAGTTGTCATTGTTGCCATCAGGTTGATTCTGATGTTTTCAGTGGATAATGAGGATGATGACATTGAAAAACAATTGCGAATGAGAAGGCTCTCTATTTGGCTATTAGAAAAATATATTAGAATTATCACATTTATCAATTCTAAAATTAATAATTTTTGTAAAATTTTTACCGCAATGTTTCTCGCATCCTCAAATTAACACCTTTAAGCTTAGCTGTCCAACTGTCATGACCCCAAATTAATCTTGCACCTGTCCATGAAGTAATTTTATATACAATAAAAATGCTAGGACCTACTGCCAAGAATGCAAAATTCAATTCGTTTGATTTCAAAAGTTTGTCAAGCGCCGCCATGGCCAATTCTATATCGACCTTAGTTTTTTGTATCTGGATCAAAAAAGTTCGAATCAATTCCCCTAAAAACACAAACAAGTATTTATTATTAATTCTTTATTATATGATTGAAAATTCAATTCTATTTTTTAGTTACCTCGCAATGTATTTAAAAGTGGCTTCTATTTTTTTTTAAAGAGGATTTAGATGAAATCTTTCAAAAAAGATCATGGTTGTTATTTTACTACCTTCATTTGATCTTCCTGTGCCATTAAAATAAGCGACAAGTCACCATCACGAAGATTACTCAATAATACAGCTAATTCAGCTGGTGTCATATGATATTTTTCTCGTGCAAATTCAACTACCATACGCTCAAGAGACTAGAAATGAAGGACTCAATCATCAATGAAATACTTGTGTTTATAAAATTGTGAGATTTCGCAATTACCTCCAAATCGGAATGCAGGCTTTCGTTTCCCATAATTGCTAATCTTCTTTCTTTATGCTGAATTGTATCGATTATTTTCAATACCGGTTCCCAAACATAATCAGTCCAGAAATGTAAAATAGTGATCTTTGCATTATTAATCCAATCTCGAATATCTTCCCGGTGAGCATATATAGATTTTCGTAGTTTGAATGCTAATATGCAAGAGCCTAATATCGGTAACCACCATCGAGTCCAAAACCCAGGACGACCATATTTTAAATTAATTTTATGTGATTGTTTCAGGTGGTTGGGCAGATGAGTAGTTATTATAGCGCTGAGATGAATATAAAGGGAAAAAGTTGACGGTGATTTCGGTGGATATTTTAGACCTGTGAAAAATCATAACATCATTATTTGAAATTTAAAAGAGTTAAGGAATACCACACAAAAAATATACATACAAAGTATTTGATTAACATCAGGAACTTTCCCACTATCAATATCAAAATTGTTTGTTTGGTTCAACACGCTTTCCATTAATACTAAACATTTAGTTAATTGCATTGAGATAACTCCATCAGCATCCATTTCTTCATCCGAATCTTCATGATCTGCTATCTTAAACTCTTTGATCAGCAGTCCTAGGCATGTTGCTTGATGTTCCATCAACGAAATTAGCATATCCTTTTTATATTGGATTTCATATTTTACTAAATATGCTAAAGAAAAAGTGTGAAGGCTAGAAAAATGTGAATGTAAATAGTTGGGAAATAAATGAAGAAAATTTTCTGAGCTAAAGTATCGACGAAGCGAAAAAATTGAGGAAATCGAGGATTGCACCAGGTAAAATTGCTCATAAAGGGAACGTGCGATAGCAGTAGAGAATGAAAATAGTCGACTTGGTGCAGCTAAATTTAATGAGGAATATAATTGATATTCATTAATGATGTCATGCCATTGAAAATCAATCATCAACAATTAGTACATAAAGTCAATTAATTTGATGGCACTCTGATCTATGTGTATAAGTCACGTATAAGCGGTGTTCAAAATAGAGAAATCGAATGAATGTCCTATGCGAATGCTAATTCAACTAAAAAAATCGATTGGCCATATATAATACACGTAAAAATACTCAACTTTGCAAAAAATAAACCAGTTGCCATATCCTATCTGCATGTAATTCCTCCCAATAATAAATATCTTCAGAGAGCAGTAAAGTTGCGTTCAAAACGCTTTCAAGAACATTTGCATAAATTGCCAAGCAAACTTTAGCCAAGAATAATTTCTCAAGTTGCACAATTCCCTTCTCAAATTCTAATTCTTGAGTTGAATCAGTGGAATTATTGTAACTCCAGCGAACATGCAAAATTTTTTCAACATCATTCAAGGTAGATAAAACAGTGGAAAGTTTCGGTACATTTCCTTTATCAAAAGATAAAACTTTGAATGCATGATAGATAGCTGCTGTGCGAGACCGTGCCAAAGTTACATTTTGAATGGGTGCCTCTTGTGTACTGCTAGCTGCTGCATCAATGGACGTATTTTCAGCTTGATTTTGCAGTCGAAGTTGTGCGTAAGCGACTTGAGGTTCACTTTTAGAGCTTTCGAGTTGAAAAAGAACATCCAATTCACGGTTTAACCTTTCAGTAATAAAACTCATATCAAGATATGTAATGTCAAAAATTTCTAACAACGATAATCTACAAATATTACGTAGTACAAATTATAGTTTGACGCGTTCTAAAAATGTCAACCCCAAGAAGAAGTGAAAGAAATACTCCAGTTAGAAGTCCACTTGAGGAAATTGCCTCGCAATCTTCTCCTGAGGAACTACAAAACACTCCTACTTTTAGGTTTGGTTTCCCTAACCCATTCACCTCTCTAGGACATGCTATAAGTCGAACATTTGGCTCCAACGAGCAAGCTCCAATGAATCTAGACGATGTCTCGGAAGGGAATCGGTCACCACTCTCTAATACTACAGTTTCTTCGAAACCTCGTCTTACGACTCCACGCGGTGAACGACGCGTGCCTAAAGATATAGAACTTCCAGGCACGCCGTCGCGTCCAAGAGGTGACGTTCACCCTTTTACTCCTAGACCGCGTCAAAGACCTCTTTTTAAAAGTCCTGTAAATGTTCGTCCGAGAGATTTGATTCGAGAACGTGATGATATCGATATGGAAAATACGGAATCACCAAAGTTGGAGCATAATATTTGGGGTACTATGATTGATTTGGTTGAGTGTAAAGAAGTGTTCAACGAGTTTCTTAGAAACTTTAAGAAGGAGGACAGAAAAATTAGAGATGGATTATCTGTATTAGATCGAGATAGAGAAGTATTTTATGAGAGATATTTGAAGAAGGTATCATAGACGCGTTTTTATTTCTATTAAGTATCAAATATCTCCTAAAAGTTTTAATTCAAATCAGATTTACGAAAATGAAGAAGTCAGAGTGAACCTTGATGTGCAAAATCTACTTGCATATCCGAAAACTGTAAAACTGTACCATCAATTATTAAAGTATCCTCATGAAATAATTCCTTTGATGGATAGCACAATACTGGAATATTATAAAGAGCTCCATGGACATAATACGGCCACTCAGGAATTAAGGGTATAATAATTATATTAACATGTAGCCTATTTGGTAATTATATATATATATATAATACCTCTCTCTTTATTAATTATACTTCCTCATAGATAAGACCTTTCAATTTGTGTAATTCGGTCAATATGCGTGATTTGAATCCTTCTGGTAAAAATATAATAAATAAAATCATTTTCGAAAAAGCAATTATTTGATAATAAACAATTTAATTCGCAGATATCGATCAGCTCGTATCAATCAAAGGACTGCTAATAAGAGCATCGCCACTCATTCCGGACATGAAAATTGGTAATGAATTTTTTTGATAATGTGTAAATTTACGTTACTTCCATTAATGAATTTTATACCTATTTTCAAAAAGGATTCTTTCGTTGCTCTGTTTGTGGGAATCCATTGGAACGCATGGTCGAGCGTGGTAAAATAGATGAACCAGATCGATGCCCCCGACCGCAATGTAATTCAAAAAACACGATGGATCTCATTCACAATCGATGCACATTTAGCGATAGACAAGTTTGTCGTTTACAAGAAACTCCGGGTATTTTTCATATATTTTTTCTTGTGTATTAATCCATTCTTCAAATGTCTTTAATTTGATACCTGCTCTCATAGATTCCATTCCCGATGGTCAAACACCTCACTCTGTCACATTATATTTATTTGATGACTTGGTGGATGTTGCACGTCCCGGTGACAGGTAGAATTTTTTATACAAAGATTCAGATTTAAATACCAATTAACGTATAAAATATGAAATCCTTTCATCAGGCTTGAAATTACGGGTGTCTTTCGGTCTGTTCCAATTCGCGTACACTCACGACAACGCACCATGAAATCTCTATTCAAAACATTCATCGACGTTTTACACGTGCGTAAAACGGATAATAAGCGTTTGGCAGTTGATAGTATTGTCAATGAAACCAACGAAAAAGAAAATAGCAAAGGGAAAAATAAAGAGGATGACGAAACTTTTTATGCTTCGAACAAATTACCAAAGTAAGCAACCCTTTCTTTTTTAAACGGTATATAGTTATGAAATATTCCTTAAACTGTAAATGGACCTTTAGATATGACGAATTAGATGAAATTCCTGATCATTCTGAAGGTGAAAGGATTGAGCGGTATATTGGGATATCACAATTGCCAAACTTATACGAGATATTGGCTAATTCATTAGGTAACAATCAATTATCCTAGTGTTTAGGAAATTTGTAGATCTAATCCGAAAAATAAAGATAATTATATTTTTAGCACCAAGTATTTACGAATTAGATGATGTAAAGAAAGGAATCCTTTTGCAACTGTTTGGAGGTACAAATAAAAAATTCAAAACAGCTGGGAATCCACGATATCGAGGTGATATCAATGTATTGTTAGTTGGTGATCCAGGAACTAGTAAATCACAACTATTGCAGGTATGATTATTTTTTATTAATAATCTTTTGAGCTAAATAAAATGAGTCTATTTATTATGACTAATTGAAATAATAGTATATACATAAAATCGCTCCTCGTGGAGTATACACTTCTGGTAAAGGCTCTTCGGCCGTTGGGTTGACTGCATATGTTACTCGTGATCCAGATACAAGGCAAATAGTATTGGAAAGGTATGACAATACCGGAGATCTATATATTTTGGATTTATCAACTACCAATAAAAATTTATATTTGATTCTATTTTTCCAGTGGGGCTTTAGTGCTAAGTGATGGTGGTATTTGTTGTATTGATGAATTTGATAAAATGTCTGATGGAACCCGATCAGTTCTTCATGAAGTGATGGTTAGTCATGTTATTTCTCTTCAATTAATATTAATTATCAATATAAAATCAAAACATTCATACTATGTCTGTACACAGGAACAACAAACTGTTTCAGTTGCAAAAGCAGGAATTATCACTACTCTCAATGCCAGAACATCTATTCTTGCATCTGCAAATCCTGTAAATTCAAAATATGATCCCAAGCTGTCCATCATTGAAAACATCCAGTTGCCACCGACATTAATGTCAAGGTAGATTACTAGTTAATGAGGATTCACTATCTTTTATACGAAATAATTATTTATTCGCCCATTCTTCCCATACACTGGTAAGATTTGATCTTATCTATCTAATATTAGATAAAGAAAATGAAATGGTTGATAGACGCCTCGCGCAGCATATTGTATCTTTTTATTTAGAAGATATACCTAACGTTGCTGGACCTAATATCTTGGTGAGATTAATCCTGCCAGTTTTGGAAATTTATAAATAATTACAACTTACTAATATTGCGCAAATAGCCTGTTGAAGATTTGACTGGTTACATTAGTTATGTGCGCCAACATTGTGACCCAACTCTTACCAGTGAAGCTTCCAGTGCCTTAACAGAAGCCTATGTTGAAATGAGAAAAATGGGGCAAGATCCAAGATCCAGCGAAAAAATTGTAACTGCTACGACTCGGCAGCTTGAATCTATGATTAGACTGTCAGAAGCTCACGCTCGTATGAGGTTTGTATCCTTGTATAAAAAAATATATTTTACAATTTATGATTTTGATATACATTTACCTCTCGACAAAGATTATCATACACCGTGGAAATCGATGACGTCAAGGAGGCTGTGCGTCTTCTCAAAGAAGCTATTAAACAGTATGCGGTTGACCCTAGCACCGGTAGAATCGATATGGACATGATAAACACAGGAAGGGCAATGCATAAACGACATTTACTGGAAGATTTACGAAAAGAAATATGGCGATTAATATTAAACTACGATTCACCAAGTATAAGATGGAGGAAATTACTTCTAGATGTCAGAGGTCAATCTACAATGGCATGTATTTTATTCATGCATATTGAATTATTATTTATCTGTCTTATCATAAACTTTATCTAATGGACAAACTTTTCATAATGTTAATAGGATGTTTCTGATAAAGACTATGAAGAGGTGATTAATAATTTAGAACATGACGGAGAGATTCGCGTCACTGGCACCGGGCAGGACCGCATCATTAAAAAGTTGTCGAGTGACGACCAACCAATGATATAATACTACGCAAAATAGTGATTTCTAATATATACTCAATTTTTTGTGTGTAACATTAATATTAATAATTCGAAGTTCATTATTCAAAAGATCTTTCGTCTTAATCTGGATGTTGATGAATTTATTTTTCTTTGATTACTATTTTAAAGTCTGAATTTCTTATTCTAAATAACTGGGACATAATTAATATAATTCTGTTAGGCAGTATCATAATTTTTTAGACCAAAAATTCAGAAATTATATTGGAATTGACGGAATCAACTGCGAACCCGTGCCTAAAACAAATATATCATGCTCAATATTTAGTAGCAAAAAAAAGATGTCGGATCATGTGATCTGAAATAGATCCATTAAAATATCCGATTAATATTAGATATCAAGTATTAGGGTTAGAATTAGATTTGAGATCAAGGTTATATATAAAATTGGCTTTTCGACATTTTTTGACAATGTGTCAAGCTAGATTTAGATATTTGTTTTTGTATTTTGTCTTCTCATTTTCTTATATCAAATTTGTTTTGTCAAATTGATCAAAAATTTGTTATATTCTTATTGGTTGTGCAGAATTTTTGTGCGTTCTTATTGGTTGTATTTGATTATTATCATGTGATCCAACATCTTTTTTTGCCATGGCTAGAGTACTTAGAGATGAACTAGTTCAGTTTAATTTAATCCCAGTTCAAAAGATCTGGTCTTTTTAGAAGACAGATCATAATTTTCAACAAACATTATTGAAACACCAATTGAATTAGTAGATAATATCGATTCTTTTAATCTTTTTGACTTTAAAAAAGAAGTAAATTCAGATTTAATTACAATATCAGAAATTGATATGACATTAGAACAATTATTCAAAAGTTTAATAGAATCAATTTAACAAATATCGATTTCTGAGAAAAATTCAACAAGAATCAATCAAACTTGAATATTATTAGAAGAAAATATAATTAATAGTATAAAGGATGCTTTAAAAGATAATTAATTAGCAAAACAATCACCAAGATTATCATCAACTAAAAAATTATTAGAACTTATAAAGAATTATTGAAAGATAGTAAATATACAATATTATTGATCAATTACGAAATTGAAAAAATACTATCAGATCTTACCAGTAATCATAAGTTAACTAGAAGATAGCATTCTGATTCTAGATGGTTATTCAAAGAAAAGATAAGCATTGTTGATGCCACGTTTAAACATGCTTTAATTTTAAAAATATATCAATATTTCAAGGATCATGAAAATATACTTTGATCTTACAAAATGGATAAACAATTAACTTCAGAAATGATTAGAAAAATTAGTCAAAAGATCAGTGATCAATTAAAAGAAAGAATCACATTACACATCTCATATAGTACCAGCTATTAATAGAATAATAGACAACTATTTATTCACTTCTCTTTTATATTATCTTTTATAATTTTTATAGTCTTATACTTTATTTTATGAAGCAAAATCTTAAGAGTGAGGGTCCTGTTATATAATGATCTTTTATCATAATATTTCATATTATTAGATTATACATATTTTATATTTTATTGGATAAAAGACAAATCACGTGAAGCGAGTGAACAAGTGAACAAATATTGGACCAATAGAATTTAAGTGATATAGTGAACATGAATTCATATAGTTGATAAATTATATCTTGAATTTGTATAAAAGCAACATATATCATAGTTATTAGAATTAGATATAAACAATCCTTTTAGATAGTAATTCTCAATTATTATATCTAATTAGTTATTACATAATTTTGATTGTTCAAAGAAGTAAAGTTTGTACTTTATATAGAGTAAATAGTCAAGCACAAACTCCTTTCTATACTCTTTTAACAAAGTATTTATTTTCTTGTATAATAACTTTATAAGAAGTTATATAGATTTTGAATCAATATATATTATAATAGCTTAAGCAAGATTGCCAGGAGCACTATAAAAGTTATCATCTTTATCCTAGACTTTTTGAATATATTGTGACAAAGTTTATCGAATATTATATTAAATAAAGAAATTATTATTATAATTCATAAATTTATCTTTGAGATAGTATTGCTAATAATATATTGCTCATAAATTTATCTTTGATTTTGTATTGCTAATAATACACTTATTTTTGATCTCATATTGCTAATAATACAAATATCCTATTTTATATTTTGATCTTTAAAGATTTAAAGATATTTTTAATATGTATATTATATTTAACATTGAGATTTTGAAAACTCTCTTAGCAATCCAGTTATTACATTAAAAGAACACAACTGTTACCAATCGTTAAGTGATTCTTATAAGTATTTATCATACTTTAACTTATATTCAGTCTAAAGTCATAAAGTATTTATCAGGAAATTTTTATATCTGATTATAATCGATTATTATCCAATAATCAATTATCATCAATTGTTAATAATCGATTATAATCGATTGCAATCAGATATAATCGATGATTATTAAAATCGAATATAA